CGGACAGGCGCGCATGCCTGCCTGCGCGTGCGAGTCTGTGACGCCAGCCAATAAAAAACGGAATAGGAACCGCACAGAGCTACAAGATCTCTTTTATTAAGTATACAGATAACTATCTACTTATTTTGTGAAAGTAAAGGTGTGTACCCTCAATTACGGTTCATGGGCATTGCCAACCGCTTGGTGCTACTCGGAACACAGATTTACCGCTACCACGTTGGCTTCGCCTAGGAGACTGATTTGGTGACATGGTGAAGGATTTATCCGAAATTGAAGGGATTACCATCCAGCTACCCCGGGAACCGTTATCCTGCAGTGGTTAATTCAGAGACAGTGTTCTCCTACGGCAGCTAATCCCGAGCTAGAGTTCACTAACTGTACGTATCTCAGGTATATCTTTAGCCTACAGCTACCGGCTGACGGCCTGCTTCTTCTTATTCTCCTTATTCAGGCAGTTAGTGCTCATACAACGTTACCCTACGGCAGCTATTCCGGATATATCTTCATGCAATTCTAGCTGATCGAGCTTACTTTTCCAGTCATCGGCTGGTCGCGATAATCCTCTATTGCACGTTAGGTTGCAGCTTCGCATTCGTTCGGATAATACCGTCTTAACGCGGGATAAGGGTACAAGGTCGGTTAGGATGGTTCTCAATTGCGGTGATCTGAACTCGTGGCCAGTTGGTCGTCGAGCTCAATGCTCCACCTGCCGCAGCTCGATATGACGTTCCGCCATGTATGTAAAGACGTTTTTTCGGAACGTCCTTCTTCCTCAGTACTTTCAGAACCTTTGAACGTTTTCAGCTAAACTACCATCATCGAACCCAAAACTGCACAGCTGAAATTGGATGTGGCGAGAATCCACGACTTTGGTATTTGATTTTTTTGGTTAGGGCAATTCCTATCAATCATCCCAGTGGGGTCTGTGGCTCAGTTGGAATATTCCGCGACCTCCGTTCGGATATCGTCGCCTGATGAGTGTGAGCAGATCAGAGCAGACTCATTAGTTTATTACAATTGTTTTTGGTCATAAGCCGTACCCACTTTCTAGATAGGGACAAGAAAAATACATTGGCGGATGGACTACACGTGCATTGTTTCCTCTGAAAAATACATATTGAGAATCTGATTTTTTTCTGAGTTTGTTGGTGGCTGCTACACATGTTTTACATCACCAAGGCAGCTGGATAGGGGACGCTCTGTTATTTTCAGTCGTGTTCTCTATTGGTAAAGTATGTTCATGTTCTTGGCAGGTGTCGTTTTGTTTGCATCTTC